ATCACACAGCTGTTTCGTCCTTCTACGACTCGTCAGTGATGCTACATCATACAGCTGTTTCGTCCTTCTACGACTCGTCAGTGATGCTACATCACACAGCTGTTTCGTCCTTCTACGACTCGTCAGTGATGCTACATCATACAGCTGTTTCGTCCTTCTACGACTCGTCAGTGATGCTACATCACACAGCTGTTTCGTCCTTCTACGACTCGTCAGTGATGCTACATCATACAGCTGTTTCGTCCTTCTAGGACTCGTCAGTTATGCTACATCATACAGTTGTTTCGTCCTTCTACGACTCGTCAGTGATGCTACATCATACAGCTGTTTCGTCCTTCTACGACTCATCAGTGATGCTACATCATACTGCTGTTTCGTCCTTCTAGGACTCGTCAGTTATGCTACATCATACAGTTGTTTCGTCCTTCTACGACTCGCCAGTGATGCTACATCATACAGCTGTTTCGTCCTTCTAGGACTCGTCAGTTATGCTACATCACACAGCTGTTTCGTCCTTCTACGACTCGTCAGTGATGCTACATCATACAGCTGTTTCGTCCTTCTAGGACTCGTCAGTTATGCTACATCACACAGTTGTTTCGTCCTTCTACGACTCGTCAGTGATGCTAAGGGCCTAAAGTTTGAAGCTTAGGGGACGATTAAGGAGAATCCAAAGTGATCAAAAGAAAAGTCAAAATCTAGACGGGCAGGTGCATCCCCCCAAAAATAAGTTATGATTTAAATGATAAATAATTATTGGATTTCAACAAAATATAGTATTTCCATAAAAAGTCATATTAAAATACGATAATAACGATATTATTCTACTTGATTTTAAAAACAATATGTTGAATATCATATCAATGTTTATTCAAATAACTTAACAACTTTGTTCATTTGTAACTGTAACATAGCTGAGAGATAGGAAAATTGCATCCTTTACAACGTATTCACGCATAGAAATTATATAAAGCTTTAAGAAATTGATAGAGTGAAAGGATTTTTTATCCTTGTATGATATCCTACTATATTCATTCGGTCAAACATAATTACATAGTGAGATGACAGGATTAATTAGGTAGATGTGTATGAAAATGAAAGAACATCTGCCCCTCGGAGTCGGAAGGCAGCGTAAAGGTACATCGAGATTTGTGAAGGTACAAAACAATTTCTGTATTCTCTGTGTATTTCTAAGGACGGTAATGATGAAAAGTGCAGAAGTTTATTATTAAACAGCACTCGTGTGAAGTTTTACAAATAAAGAACCATTTGATTTCCGTTTCAAAACTGGTTAATCCGTGCTCCGTACTGTTTGACTACAAGCAATAACTTGTTTAGTGTTTGTTAGTGTTCATGATAAAGTCGTTTTAGTAATTTAGATCTACAAATAAGAGTTAATTATACTACATCATATACTTACAATTCCGTAATAATACTGAAAATATGAAGACTAGAATTATTTCCCTGGAAAGAAGACAAAAATCAAAGGAAAGCACACGCCCATCGGGGCTTTCATGCGCGGAGGTAGACCACACATACATAGGGGTTATACAGTTCAAACAAGACAATTTTATAGAAACTGGGTGAGATGCAACGTTCACGTGTGGGAAACTTATAATCAAAATTGGGTGTTTTATCATATGATTGTATGCTGTCCATCAGTGAAGACAAAATTTTCACAGCTGCTCGTTTCTTTTATTATATAAATTAATTTTATTATCGCGCTAGAATTTATACCAGACTTTCGTATAAATCATACTGCAATTTACATACTGGAGAGCGTATATCTTATATACAGTCAAATTTGATAGATACAAATTAATGTATATAAATCATGACACAATTGTTCAAATTCTTAGCGTGTATATATATATCTATTCATATATGCTGTATAGTTCAAACCTAGTTCAAATTTCCGAAAGCCACGACTCCATATTTGACTTAAAGACTTTATTTGTTCAATAAAACAAACAGGATCAAACACAAATTATCACAATTCCGAAACGCCTGATCCCAGATAAGATATTCCAGTAATTATCTGACGGTGTGTTGCAACTTCTCTAATCAAAACTATTTCATATAATCTCCAATTGACAATTTGTATTATTAAAGCGTTAAGCTGATTAAGCTCAGTTCTGAGTTATAAGTATGTTTGACACGTATGGTTACATAATGCATTATTTTTTCGTCAAAAGTAATTGACGTTTCTTTATGACATCTCATGATAAAGGAACGATTGAAATACGAAAAAAGAATCAGAAAAATTAATACAGAAAGTTCGTGACTGACAAGATCAATTTAAAAATTAGTTTCTTATTTGATGTTTATGATTGTTCTTAAAGATTTATTAACCTACGAACTTGAATTACTTTATATCTTAACATTCAGAAAATTCGTAGAAAAATATGCTATAAATTTGAACTATTATTTAATCAAATTGTCATTTAAGTTTTTCTCTGAAAAAGTATAATTATGACAAAATATTAATTAAGAAATACGAAACTTCAATAAGATATCAAGCTGGGGCTAAGAATATTTATTTTATGCCAAGTAAATGCAATTTTAACACAACATCCATTCGCCATAATCCAAACCTAGTTCTATTAAAACGAAATCCCTGCCAGTAAACAGTCACAACTCCACGAAATATAGGGCGTATCTCCAGAAATCCCGCAATTCAGTAATCAAATACTACCAGATGGGCATTTTTTCCGCGGCAGTGTCATTTTCGCGATTTTCGCCAAAAAAGATGTGCATGCTAATTAACACGGCAATACATGTGCTATGGAAATAACAATATCATTATCTTAATTGGGGGGGAAAACTCTAGAAAAAAGACATTCCCAGCATTATATCGAAACCATAAGACACCGAATGGATTACAGTGATAGGAAATTGTTTCGTGGCGTGGTTTATCAACAATGGCATATACTGATATATATAATATTCTTTATCTTTATATAATAAGCTTTATCTTATCGTCATAATTGATCAACTGTCATAAAAGGCCTTTTGTCTCGTTCCTTGCACAATATATTTGAAATCTATATTTAAGATATCAATGTAACTTGGTTCTGGCAGACTAAACTTAAAGACATGTTGTGATATAGGAATATTCAAGGACAACTGAATTCTTGTTTGTGCATTCCAGTAAGGTCAGCTTGAACAAAATGAAACTCAAAATTGTTGAAAACTGATATCATTTTTAAAAATATAGATTCATCTGGAAACAATAGAGGTTGACCGATAATTTCGCAATAGTCAATATTTCACAATATTTTCGCGTGACAATATACAGTCGAATCTCGTTATCTCGAAGTCGGCGTGACCGAGAGAAAACTTCGAGTTATCCGAGTATTCGATTTAAGTAATTTCAAATGTTTATTGTGAAGTTTGGTCGAGAATGACAAAATATTTCGAATTATACAGGGTATATGAGTTTTTAAGGGTTCGAGATAACGAGGTTTTACGGTATTGCAATAAGGGGGGTCCGCGAGTGGAATGAAAATGCGAAATTTTTCATTTTTCAAGTTTGATGTAACAATGTCTGTCTATTTGTCTGTAACAATGTAGACTCAAACGAAATTCACACGCCGTAAATGATGGGTTTTTTGAAGGGTTTCTTAATTTTGTTTAGTTCTTTTTTTGTGGGGGGGGGGGGGGGGGGGGAGGGGTTCGCCACAATAATAAAATTAATTATGAAATAAAAGTTCATTTAATTTAAAAGGTTCTAAGAATCAATTTAAGAAATACTTAATATTTTCATACATCTTAACCAAGTCCAATATTAAACGACTCTAGACTTTAATATATAGCGTATACCCTACCGCCATGACGTCTAGTACAGGCTATCATAGATACCAGCGTGATCGCAATCACCATTAGCCCAGTTGCTCCGTCTGTTCTAGGGTCAGCGACACTTAATGATTCATTAGGCGTGACCTTGTTTGACCTCAGTACCGCATTCAGCAAGTGATGTACCACTTGTAAACGGTCATTACACTTGAGAGTACCTACATAATAACAATACGGTGGCAAGCGACCTACCAACTGTGGAACCCGCCGTCATACAAGTTAAGTCTCTTTGTACCAGCGCTAAGACGTACGTACTTCGGAACTAGAAAGCTCCAGCCTTTCTCGAAATCGTTCCAAAAACTAAAGAGGTGAAGATGGTTAGCGCTAATCCACAGAATATATGTAAAACTAATTCGATTCCAGTTTGTAAGATACCATTTACAACACAATGGTGCTTGTGTGTTGTGGGTGTGTTACGGAAAAAGCATATGGTACTTCAGACATCACGACTTCGCATTTCTATCGGCCTTAGATGGCAGAGAGTGTCTGAAGTGTTCTTTACCTCGGGGAGCTCATTTAAAACGTCAATAATCCACGAAGGTCGCTTGAAATCTTACTCTTCTTTACACTGTTTCATTTACAGATTCAACTTCTCGCAAAAAAAAATCGAAAATAGCACTGCCGCGAATAATTCCAGATCTACATCATTTCCTCGACAATATTAGGGTTATTTATAAAGTGATGACGTTGCTTTCGCGTTTACAGTGAAGGGTTTTAAAACCCGATTTGATAAAGACAACTTGCAGATTTTTGCAACAGATCAGGGATAGGCTATAGAATATGTTTTATACAATGTAATTAGTGACATGAAATTCGTAAAAGGTATCATGATAATTAAAATCCAAACATAAAATATTCTGTTTCCGTTAAACTGTAGAATAATTTTAGGATATGTACCGAACGGACGTTGTCATTCACAGGCGGGAAACCAAGCACCGGGTGATTATTTTTCTGGTTTCTGTATTAGCAGTTAAGTATACTGGGTAAGAAAAAAAATCTTAATATTCTAGATCAGTAAACATGATGGTCAAAGTTTAGATAATAATTGTGTAGCATATTTTCACTTTCTTCTCACTCATATAACAGCACACTGTACATATATGGGGACACACATAGCAAGCGGAAGCTAAGCACAATAATCTTACATGTAACATCCGGACATGCGCCGTTGTCCAAAAAGAATCGCACCAGTGGCTCCACCTTGAGGAACGTTGAGACTATGAGCGGGTTGCTACATTTACACTTGTTAATGTTGAGATCAGAACCCGCCTGGGTCAATTGGACGATAACGGTCATGACGTCAGGGTCAATCTCGCGGTTTATTTCGTAAGCATGTAAACACTCACTGATGACGTTCGTCAAGGCGCTTCGGCCTGCCCTATCCAGAGAGTTCGGATCAGCTCCCCATGACAGAAGCTTTTCTACGACTTTGATGTTCCTTTGCAGTGCTGCCACCTATAAAATATCAAGTGTATGACGTGTAAAGCCTTGGGTTCGATATAGCATTTAAATATTGGTATGTGAAATTATACAAAAATTGGATATACTTGATGATACTTTTAAATATTTCTGTCGTATTAGTATTCATGTGAGCAAATATTACATAGTGCACTAGCAAACTTGTACTGTGACCCTTTTCGACGCCTCGTTTGTATTGGATTCCGTTATTTAGCAAGGAGCCTTACAATAAACGTTTTCTTGTTGCATTTTTTCCAACTTTTTTCCGACATATTTTGTACGTTCCGAATAATCAGGGTGACAATCCTACATTGAAACCGTAGGACTGAATTTGACGGAATCAGACAAAAAATGTGCTACCTGTAGCGTTCAAATCCCTCATTTCTTTTGTGCGTAAGTTTTGATAAAATTTTGTGATTATTACACAATCCGTCATCCTTTGTATAACAGGTTGTTAGCTGTATCAACAGCGATGTTCATATAAACTTGGATATTGCAACATAATAAAAACAGAAATATGACCCGATGTGTCTTCGAGGGCTCTTCAACTGTGAAGATTTATCGTCCGTCTAAGCGCAAACATGAAACTGATTTATCAATTAATTACAGCTTAAAATCTCTCTCAAATAAATATAATTGACTCTGATCTGACAATGGGAGCTTCAGTCTGTATATATCTAACTGTTATCCAAGCGTATACCTGACGCTGATCTTTCCCCTCTGACTTTGCACTGATATAATTACTAAAGTGTCAGATTTAGCTTAAGACCAATGTTAACTATGTATAATAATTTCTTCGAAGGTTATTGCCGAAAACTTCAACCTTTCCGCTTATTTAAATGTGTCTATTTCTGTCTTTCTATATTGTTAATACATCTGCCTGAGGGGATGTTCACAGCGGGTGCCCTTGTATACCAAACTTCATTTTTGACATTAGAGAGCTGTATATTTGGCATGTAGGTCTTTGGGTTAACAAAACATCTGTTACCCTGTACATTACACAAATATAACAGTCGACTTGTATGTTATACACAGGTCCGGTACTTACGGGGCGGGTCAAGCTCGTGCGTCAGAAGAGTTATGTACAATTTGACCTATAGATATATTATGGAGTAAACACCTAGATACATTCTTTCAAACATTGAAGATGAAGTCATACAGCCGTTATTTGATACATAAACATACCTAGAATATTCTTATTCTACTCAAAATATATAAGAATGCATATCTGTGGAACACCCCTTCTTATCTTCATCCAGCCAATTCGGTCTCGAATATTTCATTTCTTTTTCGGTAATCTAAGCTTATGACAAATAAATAATTATGTTTTTGATCCCGGATATTTGTCGCGTAAAAATAACTTATAGTATTTTTTAACTTTAAGGTATATTCCATGAAATATCAGGTTCTCAAATATAGGATTGGGGAAGCGAAGACATTTTTTTTAATTTGAGAGAAACAAACCTCCCACTTTCAGCGTTGGTCACAATACTGTCTTTGAAGTGAATTTCACATTAACTGTTATTCAGACTATCGGATTTTGTCCACCCCTATTTAAAGATTGCGGAAGAGTTATTTCCCCTCTTTGAATCTTGTTCGACAAAATTTAAAAGAAAAAAGATACTTCTCGTCAATATATCGCGAGAATTCGAGGCAAATGACAAAGTAGCATTAGAATATGTGTCAGAAAAAGAAAATGTAAAATATTTCAACATCTATAAATAGAAATAATAAAGAAAGTTTAAACGACTGATTCTGTACTTAGTTGAAAGAAATACTTGTATTTATCTGTTGGTCATATAACACTTCGTTAGTGAGGCTAAATTCTCTTTTGTAGAAACTTTTCCAGCCAAAATTGATCACAAACGAATAAGATACGACTACGCTGAATTTGTTGAATATCTGTCGCCATCAGGCGGCATGCTTATTTATTTACAGAATTGCCAATGGCACGTCTAAAAAACCCTCCATTTCAAAAGAGTTCTTATTCGCGACAACTACTGTACCGTATTATATGACCTCTTGTCCTGAGGACCTTTATCCCCAGACAATCCTGGTTTGTTATCACAGCACACACATTCATGCAGATTATTTACTTCTTGTCAAAAACATGTTTTTGTACAGAAAAGTCACTTCTTGTTTCAGGAATGTAGATTTTGCTTAAGGGGGTACACCTGATAGCAATAACTCCCCCAAACCTAATTTCACTCTGCTGCTGCGATCATGATTTACGCTGAAAAGAACGCAAGTAATTGACCTATTTTAAAGATATTCGTTACATTCTGAATTAGCGCACAATGAGTTTATGGGCACATCCGTCGAACTTGACCCGAACTAGGGAACAATATGAACGACAATGTGTTGAGTGGAATCCATTTTTTCGTGTTAAATAAAAAGCAAATTTGAAAAGAAAGTGAATGATGATGTGTCTCTACAACTTCTCTGTGGTCATGTTTAAGATTTATTCAAAGGAAGAGTGCAAATTAAACCGGAACCGGAAGTGCTATTTATGTATGTAAATATATGCCTACCTGAAGAGCTGACCTCTTACATCGAAAATCCCTCATATTGACAACAGCCCCGGATGTGAGAAGTACGTCCAGAAGGGTTATTTGGTGTGGGTACGGTGGCTGAGAGCATAAGTTAATTAAAGGGGTCAATCCACACATAGTGCTCGCATTTATATCACTTCCATACCACAATAACAACTTCACAGCCTCTTCACAACCTTCTTCCACTGCAAAATGTAGTGCAGTCTTACCAAACTTGTCCTGACACCTCACAGAAGACTTTTTCCATGACAACAAAAATTTGGCCAGATCAAGATTTCTGGCAATGATGCAGTGCATTAAGGGGGTCTGTCCCCATCTGTCACGGATGTTAATGTCCGCCCCATTTCTTATAAGAAGCTTTGCACACTCTACACGTCCTTTTTCACAGCACAAATGAAGTAGGGATTTCCCGCTCAAACGTCCATCGTCCTCAAACAAATAATCGACGTCCGCGCCACCTACCAGCAATTTGTGAAGCTTCTTGTGATTGTCTTGTTCAAGTGATAGATATAGATCGGGCAAAACCGCCATTCGTTCATACCGGAAGCTCCCGAAACCAGCTTAAACAGAAAAAAAAACAAAATAAAAAACATGCAATATCTTTAAATAAGTATGCACCAAAAATGAAACAATTGATATTACTATATTTTAATACAAGGATATATCGCACAATTAACCTTGAAATAGCACAGAGCCTTTCAAATTTTCTAACACACTGCCATTATTTTCAAAACAAAACATCCTGTAACAAAAATTTTATCAATGAATCCGGAAATCAAATTGAATGATTATGGATGAACAAGACCCCATACCGTATGAGATATTCGGACATACAAGAATATCTCCCTTCTACGTCCTTTCCCGTCTCCGTGTGATTAAATGAATGATTTCCGATATTGTGGTGATTTGACGTAAATGTAGCCGGTGTAACACTCACCTCGTCCGTGTGGACGGGGGATTGGTTCGCGGCCAGTGCTTGTCAGATACTCGACTTTCCTGTATTTCTCACACAAGTATGGAAGCCTCTATATTGCACGTGCATTATGTGCTCGTGTATATGTCTCAGTAGAGTATTATACCAATTAGTTGCAGAACCTTACAAATAACAGGTAACACGTGTGATGTGTGTGATAGTCTTGCACTTCTTCAATTCATTTCATGTAATGACGGGAATCATTGGAATAATCATTCCCGATTATCCAATATTTAATTAATTTCCCTTACATAAATCTTTTGAAACACGTCGTTTTGAGCAATTAGGTTAACAAAATACAATGTTTCTCTATTTTTTTCAAACTACCATCGAAAAGTCAATTAGGTGCCAAATTGATCGCAAGACACACTTGGTAATGTTTGATGATCGAACGTTAATACTATGTATAGGGACTGGGTTTTCAGACTTGGAGCAACTTTTTTTCAGATCCGTGTTTTAGCTTTACGTTGTACCGGGTCGTATCGATCCGTGTTTTAGTATACTCCACGTTTTAAAGCGGAGATTTAATCGACAGGGAAATCGAATGTGCCTTTTCCTGATTGGTTGAACTCTATGTGTACTCACTTGGACAATAATTTGGCATTGCTGTTTTAAAACAGTTGATGCATACGTTTGGTAAATTTAAATTGAATTCGTTAAGTTTTTAATTTATTTTCATTTCTACACTAATATTTGAAGGAATATTTTGTAGAACAGGATATTTGAACCTATCAATAGGTTGGAAGTTCACGGTCTGATCTGCGAAGTTTCAGCGTGCCAGCTGCCCAAGGCAGATAACTATATAATTTCTTAGATTTTGTTTGGGTTTCATTTTAAGTAATTCTGAGTTTCCACTCACAACATCATAAAGCACTAACATACGTGGACATCACACGCTCGAAGTGAGTATATGGGCGATTTCGTTATAATGATATTCAGAATATCTTCGTTTATAGTAACGGGATGACCGATAAATTTTTAAAAAATCGTTCACAAAGTAAAGATATAATATAAAAATCGCTGGTTATCGGATGCTAAACCACACTAATAAACAAAAGAATATGATATCAGTTTCCGGAAATCCGCTCACTGCATCATGTGATGCTGATTGTGACGTCAGATACTGTAACAGCACTACGCGGGGAGAAAATCACATTTGATCAGTTACACAATGTATATGAGATGAAAAGTAATTTACGTTTTATAAATGTCCTAAAATATTCAGTTTTACGGTCATCATAGTGATGTTATTGATAAATATTCTATTTCTTTGTAGTATATAAAGCTGGACGTGTTTGGTCCTCATGAGCTTGTCTCTTGATTCCATTGTTGTATACCATGTTTTCATTTATTTGGGAACGTGACATACTTGCTTGGATTGACCAAGATTTATATGGCGTATGTAATTGATGAAGCAGAAGACACTTACACTTCCGGAACATCAGGTCTTATTTCTCTAGTACTCTTTCAGGGAGTCTCCGTGTAGATCTTTCTTTTGTTGAATTTGCTCGAGTTTAATTTAGTTTGGATTATAATTGTGTTGATATGTTGGCATTTTCTTATGTATGTGTGTGTGTGTTTTTTTTTTTTTTTTTTTGTTTTTGTTACTCCAGAAGTGAAGACCATTAGTTTCAGTTTCTCAGAGTAAAGTAATGCAATCGGTGTGTGTTAATTGCAATATAACTGCAAAGATTACTAGTTACAAACATGCCCTTGTTTAATTCAACATTTAAACAGTTTGACAAAAAGGACACGATAAAATCCTGTTTTTATTTTTTTTTCTTTTGAAACCGGTATTCAAATTTCCGGACAGATGAGTACAAATAACGTTACGGAAATCCGTTCTCTAACATTTGATCCCGGATTGTGAATTTTCCGGATTATCGGCGTCCGGACTATCGCGGGTTCACTGTACTGTCGACAGTATGGCTCAGTGAACTCTTGTTGAGTGCTTTCTTTATCTACGTGCTTTCACACAGATGTTGGAAGGGCTTCCATAGATACATGGAAACAATGACGTAAAAATAGAGTATATTGTCACCTCGGGCACACACAGCCACATGTGTACCTGGCCTCATAGTAATCCTGCTGGGTCGTTCCTTGTCATGTATATATTGGCAACGTCTCCATGCGTTTCTCCTTGTTATTCAGGTCGATACATCTACAATATGTCGTAGTAAGCAGAATGACGTGATTTGGTCTCAAATAAGTCTTATCTCCAGATAAATTGCTTGGAAATAGTCGGTCTCCAGACAAAATACGTTAAAATTGTCTATCTCCAGTTAAATCATTTCTGAATATTCTATCGCCAAATACAACGCCGAAAAATAGTTCTTCCTAAAGTAAAACACCTCAACATAACCTGATGAATGTATTTTCTTACCATCTCTGAAACTTTACTGAATAATATCCTATTAAACATTATCATCATTCTGCATTATCTGTTTTCAATATAATTTAATTTATCTATTTATTCATTCATTTGACTTGTGCCTTTAAGGCCTTACGTCAGACGATACACGATCAAATGAATATCGAATACATATATAAAATTAATAGTTCAGTAAGCTGGCAAATTACCTCCCTTGGCTCACACTCTTCTCATTGAAAATTACTCCCTTCTCTACACCGTCCATCTTTCTGCTTTTAACTTAGAATTACGTTTTTGTCGGTAAGAAGTCGATTGTTATATCAACGAGAGTATTCTTTATTAGTAAACAATTTTGAAAAATCACGACTTTACTAGGTTACTAGAGGAGAATCTACCTTTCTAAAAGCGTTATTCGACCATATCAAGTGCGCAGTACTCTGAGACTGGTGAAGCGTTTGGCAATTCGGTGAAATATTTCCTTCAGGCGGTACCTCCGTTAGCTTAACGAAGAATTATCATCGGGTCATATTACATCTGAAGAAATGTTATTTGCGGAATGAAATTAATTAGATTCATCGCTTCGCCAACTATTTCATGATACAAAATTGTCATTAGGAATATAATCTACCTTTTCATGAAAGAAATATTTTGGCAAAGCTTTCCTTCAAACTTCTCACCTACATACTGAGTAATCTTCCAGAGACTATATACATGGATACCGTGTCAATTTACAATCATCAGAGACTTTGGGTAAACTTGGTTAACTGAAATAAGTCTCACCACCCTTATCGTGACGTCATTTCATAATTAACGATATGACTTACGGCCTTGCGCCGCAAATCACTGTTTTTTAAGTTTAACGAGTCTATTATTTAGTGAACTGAAGGTTTATTCTAAGGCAGATTCTCGTTATTGAAGTTTGTTTATTCGCCCACTGAACACCATGCGGGAGGTCCAACACGCTAATAATGATCGCTACTTCGACAGCACATGGCGGTATATGATCCTGACAAACACAAAACACTTCGGATCTTCACCTGTGGTTACATTACTAAAAGCTTTGCCAACCGCGTCATAGCGGCTATATATATAATGTATAGGATCTCGTGTCTGGATGTAAGGTAGAGAGAAAGGCTACAGATATTTAAGATTTCATCTCGTGAGCCAACAGACGTACGATTCCCGTTCATTTGCCGTACCCGGCGACAGCGACAGAAAGAATGGTAACATTATTTCGCACCGATGAAACAACGATAAGCATACAGGCGGTCCGCAGTTACATAAAAAGTATATCAGTACACTCCAGCGATGACTTGCGACGGATCATAGATACGACCCGCGGTTCAATAAATAGAATAACACTACTCTTAAGTGATGACAAGAAGGTTATTTTTTATTAGAATTAGGAACCTGTTTCATGGGGCGACAAAACGACGCAAATTGGTCGAAAAATGACACGAAGCAAGTGTTATGGATGACAGTGATATGACACCGAATCAACATGGACTGTTTTCTGGAGAACACAGATGGAAGTGCTCGATCAGTCAATTATCATGATTGTCGAGGTAACATACAAAGGCGAGATCGCGTGATATTTGTGATGTAAACGACGAAAGAGCAATTTGCGTGCCGTGTGTGTCTTTTATACGTGAGAACCATGTTTGGATAGTGTTTTCATAAAGCATGTGGATTTTTTTGCCTTCGACAAAAACTGGTACAATTTTTTAATATTAGTATCCAGTTTTTCCAGTATAAAGAGATTTTATCAAACCAGCCTTTGGAGGTTTTTTTCGCCTCTTGTCCAGTAATTAAAACATAGAGACAAGGTTCATAGAATCACATTTGAAATAAAAACACATTAAAAATACATATTTGTACTTTTTTATCAAAAAAATTAAACCCCCCCCCCCCCCCCCCCCCCAAAAAAAAAAACATGAGTTACATTTTGACAAATTTTCACGTAAAATGTGGAAGACAAGATTAACCAGAGGCAGATTTTTTTTATTTTATGGCGTAACGTCAATGTCAATATTATGACGTCACAATCGATTTCTTACTGGCGCAACCAATGATATCACGTCCAGGTGATATTACACTAGTGACATAGTCGAAAAAATATTACATCGACGAAAATAACAGATCGGATATGTGATAAAAATTTCTATGTACCATATCAACGACAATATCAATATATCACATGGGGAAAAAAGAACGAACATGTTTTATTTTTATGTCGCAATTGGACAGAGCGAAATATTTAGAAACTATACGTGACCTCCTCTTGAATGGCTTCATCAACACTTATGTCGTCTACTGAAGTGAAAAAGCAGGCCAACCGGCTCCACGGATCAATTAAATCCGCTGAGATGTACTTTCACGGATACTTTATCGATCTATAGATTTGATCTTAACCCCGGAAGGCTTGTCAAAATATACCGTCTTTGATCTTAATCTTAGCAATATTTGCGTTGTGTTTCGGATTTGGCATCAACTCAATAGGGTTTACGCTGTTTATTTTAACTGGCGCACGTCAGCATACTCGGAGTTCGTTGTAAGATTTACGTCTTGAAAAAACTTAATTA